AGAGTGAGGGAAGGAAAGGTAGCTTTGCATTCCCGTGAGGGGGGTGAGGGCTACATCACTTTTCTGTGTTAATCCCCCCTTCTCCAGTCTGTATTGGATTAATGTCTGAGGGTCCTGCTTGCAGACAAAGGCTCAGAGCTGGTACCACCCCAAAGACCCTTCCCAGGACATCCAGCTTCCCCTCCACTTCCCAGGCTGTGCCCTTAACAAGCCTCTACATTTTCTTCTGAGTAGTCCTCACAGGTGGGAGAGGTTCAGGACTTCCAGCAGCACAGAAAAAGCCAAAATTAAGTTTTGTGCTTAAGTTTAAGGAGCTAGAGTGCCTTTGTTTTTCTGCAGTTCTTTGGCTTTCAGTGCAGAAACCAATCTCTGAGAGCTTTGTCCCAGAACCTGTTCCCCCCCAGCTCTGCAGGGGGGGTTGTGAAGGGCACTGCTGGCAGGAGGGGCCTGCACACAGACCTCGTTTGCCCCATTCCTGGGGGCACAGGAAGGGCACATTTAACCCCAGGCAGGTGGAGCAGTGCCTTTTATTCCTAGAAAACCATCTTTGCCTTGTGTGAGTGGGGAGTGGTGGATGCAGCAGCCATGGAGTGGTCAGGTGGCAACTTAGCCAGGATCAGACTCAAAGTCAGCTTGACTTTTTATGTCAGGAGCTCCTGGGACCTTGTAGAAGGAGAGGGTAGAGGATGTCTGGGCTGGCAGAGCCTACATCTCCAGTTCTTCATCAAAACAACTTGACTCATTTAATGACATATATACAGAGAGAGTCTGTACCAACCTTCCACAGCTGGGAGAGAAGTGTTGAAGCTGCAAGGAATCTGAGGGGACACCACTGTCTGACAGGCTGATGGGGCAGACTTGGACCTCAACCTCTTCCCATTGGTGCCACATGCCTGGAGAAGTAAAAAGTCATGGATATCATTGGTCTTTTGTGCACCAGACTTTTCTTAGGGATGGGACAAGAGGCAACAGGCACAAGTTGCAGCAAGGGAAATTCCAGCTGGATTTAGGGGAAAAGAGGGCTGTGCATCAGCCAGCTCCCGGAACAGTTTGTCCCAGAGCAGGGAAAGCCCATCCCTGCTGAGGTTCCTGCAGACCTCCTGGCATTAAAGGCTGGCATGGAAGGAGTCCAGCCTGCAGCTGGCACCTCCCTGTGTTGCTTCCTGCACCCCCCAGCTTGCTCAGCTGCTGTGCCCACCCTCTGGCACACTCACCCCCTCCTGGGTGCCAGGGCTGAGCATGAGGCTCGGGTGCAGTGGCTCTATCTCCACTTTGATCACTGTGCCAGCCCTGCTGCTGCTGCTGCTCCAGGTTTCCAGTTCCCCTTTGGGCAGATGAATGGACACACGAGGCTGTGGGCAGGACTGGCCCTTTTGCACATCCTCCTGCTCTGGGTCACTGCCTGTTTCTGTGGTATCCAGGCTGAACCTAATTCAAGGAGGAGGAACAAGCCAGGTTAGCAGATCCTTGTGTTGGAGCTCCCAACACAAGAAGGACATGGAGCTCCTGAAGAGAGTCCAGAGGAGGCCACAGAGATGATCCAGCTCTGCTCTGGAGACAGGCTGGGAGAGTTGGGGTGTCCAGTCTGGAGAAGAAAAGGCTCCAGGAAGACCTTAGAGCACCTTCCAGTGCCTGAAGGGGCTCCAGGAAAGCTGGGGAGGGACTTGGGACAAGGGCAGGGAGGGATGGGATGAGGGGGGATGGATTAAAACTGGCAGAGGGAGATTGAGGTGAGACATGAGGAGGAAATTCTGGAGTGTGAGGGTGGTGAGAGCCTGGCCCAGGTTGCCCAGGGAAGCTGTGGCTGCCCCATCCCTGGCAGTGTTGAAGGGCAGGTTGGATGGGGCTTGGAGCAACCTGGGCTGGTGGGAGGTGTCCCTGCCCATGCAGGGGGTTGGATCGAGATGATCTTTAACCTTCCAACACAGACCATTCTATGACAATTCTATGAACCATCTTGTGCCAGGCACAGCACAGCCCCTGCCATGTCCAGGCTTTAGGTGGACATTCCTAAAGAGCTCATGCAGCTGGGACAAGGAGGGTCACCACAGCAGGCACATGGAAAAGGAAGTGTCAGGGAGCATCAGCTGGAAAACCAAGTCCTGTGCCTGTTGAAAACAACTCCTCTAGCTGCCACCAGTGGGTCCACAAGCTCCTTGGTCACTGGGATGTTTAGTGCCAAGCAGCTCTCGTGGATCTCTTAGCAACCCCTGAGACTGTGCAGCCACCCAGGCCTGGCCTGTTCCCCTGGCTGCCAGGCCAGCAAAATCCCTCTGGCCCTTTAGAAGTGGCAGATGTTGTCATTTATCGAATCATCACGGTGGCATCAGATCATAAATCCTGCTCCCAGCCCAGCTTCAAGGAAGGAAAAAGAAATCCTTTTCTGGGAAACCAGGGGAGGACCAGCTCCCCCAGTGCCCCCCAGTTTCCTGAACACCAAGTGCTGCTGCAGTGCCAACAGCATCAGGGCAACATGATGGATGGGGCTCGGTGGAAAATCTTACTCTGCACAGGTTCTGTCTGCAGGTCCCTGTCACCTCATCCCTGCTGCCAGACCCAGGCTTCAGGAAGCATTTGCTTAGGGGACAGCAGGGATTAGTCTCCTTCCCAGGCTTAATCACCCTTTGAGGGGACCTAACAAGTCCCTGACCATGACAGCCCCCTCATACCACCATTGCTCACGTGGCTTATGCAGCATAAACTGTGAATGATCCACGGGCACATGGAACAACAATAGGTCCAAGAACCAGAGTCTGAGTTGATAAACAACTGCCAAGATTTCAGGCTGAGATAATTTGAGGGTACCTTATAAGGAGGAGAGAGATAAAAATAGTTCTTGCTGGCTAACTCCCAGTTATCCAGGAGATCAATACATTTGTCAGCAGGGAAGGGGCACATGTAGGAACCTGGAGCCCAGGGCATTTGTGTGGCAGGAGCTCAGGAGCAGGTTGCCCAGGGAAGCTGTGGCTGCCCCATCCCTGGCAGTGTTGAAGGGCAGGTTGGATGGGGCTTGGAGCAACCTGGGCTGGTGGGAGGTGTCCCTGCCCATGCAGGGGGTTGGATCGAGATGATCTTTAACCTTCCAACACAGACCATTCTATGACAATTCTATGAACCATCTTGTGCCAGGCACAGCACAGCCCCTGCCATGTCCAGGCTTTAGGTGGACATTCCTAAAGAGCTCATGCAGCTGGGACAAGGAGGGTCACCACAGCAGGCACATGGAAAAGGAAGTGTCAGGGAGCATCAGCTGGAAAACCAAGTCCTGTGCCTGTTGAAAACAACTCCTCTAGCTGCCACCAGTGGGTCCACAAGCTCCTTGGTCACTGGGATGTTTAGTGCCAAGCAGCTCTCGTGGATCTCTTAGCAACCCCTGAGACTGTGCAGCCACCCAGGCCTGGCCTGTTCCCCTGGCTGCCAGGCCAGCAAAATCCCTCTGGCCCTTTAGAAGTGGCAGATGTTGTCATTTATCGAATCATCACGGTGGCATCAGATCATAAATCCTGCTCCCAGCCCAGCTTCAAGGAAGGAAAAAGAAATCCTTTTCTGGGAAACCAGGGGAGGACCAGCTCCCCCAGTGCCCCCCAGTTTCCTGAACACCAAGTGCTGCTGCAGTGCCAACAGCATCAGGGCAACATGATGGATGGGGCTCGGTGGAAAATCTTACTCTGCACAGGTTCTGTCTGCAGGTCCCTGTCACCTCATCCCTGCTGCCAGACCCAGGCTTCAGGAAGCATTTGCTTAGGGGACAGCAGGGATTAGTCTCCTTCCCAGGCTTAATCACCCTTTGAGGGGACCTAACAAGTCCCTGACCATGACAGCCCCCTCATACCACCATTGCTCACGTGGCTTATGCAGCATAAACTGTGAATGATCCACGGGCACATGGAACAACAATAGGTCCAAGAACCAGAGTCTGAGTTGATAAACAACTGCCAAGATTTCAGGCTGAGATAATTTGAGGGTACCTTATAAGGAGGAGAGAGATAAAAATAGTTCTTGCTGGCTAACTCCCAGTTATCCAGGAGATCAATACATTTGTCAGCAGGGAAGGGGCACATGTAGGAACCTGGAGCCCAGGGCATTTGTGTGGCAGGAGCTCAGGAGGGCAGGGATGCCAGGCCTGGAAACTGCTCCCAGCCAGAGCTCAGCATCACACCACAAATTAACTCTCCTCTGCAGCCACAGGGAGGACAAAGGGCTAGAGGACACTGCAGGCACAGGCCCCACCAAGCCGGTTTACAGACAAGAGGAAAAAGGATTTGGTAGAGCTTTCTTAATCCCTTTGGGTTGAGCAAAGTTCCCTTTGAGCCAGAGGATGGAGGCACAGGGCCAGAAGATGCTGAGAGGAATGGAGCATCTTCCCCATGAGGGAAGGCTGAGGGAGCTGGGGCTGTTCTGCCTGGAGAAGAGGAGGCTGAGGGGGGATCCCATCAGTGCTTGTCAATATCTGCAGGGGGTGTCAGGAGGGGCCAGTCTCTTTTCAAGAGTGTCCAGTGACAGGACAAGGGACACTGGGCACAGGAGGTTCAAGTTAAACATAAGAAAAAACTTTTTGACTCTGAGGGTACCAGAGCCCTGGGACAGGCTGCCCAGGGAGGTTGTAGAGCCTCCTTCTCTGGAGACATCCCAAACCCATCTGGATGTGTTCCTGTGGGATCTGCTCTAGGGGATCCTGCTCTGGCAGGGGGATGGAGTAGATGATGTTCAGAGGTCCCTTCCAACCCTAACAACTCTATGACTCTAAGGTTCCCTCCAGACAGAGGTGATGTCTCCCCAGGTGACAGCTCCTCTTCCCAGCCCCAGGAAAAGAGGGTCTCCTACAGCCAAGGAGCTGTTAAAGCCTCTTTCTGCTCTAGCATCTGCTCCTCCACATCCCACCCAACATGAGCAGTAGGCAGCCAGCTGCTTTGGCAGATGCTGACAAGGGAGGGAGACCACCCAGCAGGGTCCCTGTGTCTCAGACACCAGATACTGCTCCCGGTCCTGCCTCACCTGCGCTTGCAGTCCCCGGGTGACAAAGGGCTCTCCCAGCTGTGCCTCCGAGAGGTAGACATGGATCTCACCAGCGTGGGGAAGTATTCCTTGGCCTCCTCCTGCAGGTCCAGCTCTTTGTCTGCCTCAGCAGGACCCTGGGAAGCGCTGGTACCATCCCCTGGCAGGGCTGCCTGGGCGCAGCGCACGGAGCGGGACATGGGGCTGGAAAAAGCAACATCCACAGACACTCTGTGCAGAGCCCCTGGTCCCTCTTCCAGGAGGCGAATGGCAGACACAGCCCGGGCTGCTTGTGCTGGCTGTGCTGCCATCTCTGGAGGTGCTTTGGGAGCTGGTGGGCTCAGGAGCCCCAGGTCTCTGTAATACTCCGTGCCCTGGAGGGCAGAATCCGAGAGCAGGTCCTCTGTGCTGCTGTGCACGTCCAGGGCTGGGACATCCAGCTCTGTGGAAGACGAGTCCTCCTGCAAAGGCAGTGATAGCTCAGCCCCAGGGCACAGATCCCACCTGAGGGCCTTGCACTTGGGGACACTGCCCAGGCAGAGCTGAAGCTGCTTTTGTTTCCCTTCTCGTGGCAAACAGACCCCCTGCAGCTGGGCTTCTCCAACCACACTTTCTACCAGCAGCACTTCCCTGCCACAGCCCTGCCCCAGCCCCACCAGCTTGGCTTCCTCCACTCCCTGAGATCTCTCTGGGCCTTATTCCCCTTCACACCAGTACAAAGCACAGAGCTGTGACTTTCCCAGCAGCAGAAGCAACATCACCTCATATCCCTAGGTAGTCTGGGTCTGTACCCCTTTCCCCCACCCTTATTCCATCCCAAAATCCTCTGAATATGGTACTGAGCACATAGTTTGCTGACACTTGCCTTTTCTTCAGCCATGCTGGTGCAGAAGGTGTCATCCTCAGCAATCAGGGAGGGGAGGAAGCGCTTGGGGCTGGGACACTCCGAGGCAGGGGAGCTGTGCTCAGAGAGCTCCTGGAGGCAAGGCTTGCAGTCAGACCCTGCCAGACAGAGAAGGTCACAGCACCTGAGCAGGTGCCCCAGGGGGATGTAAAGTCAGCCCTGCACAGACAGGTGACATTGGGCCTCACTGAAATGCCCCACGTGCCCTCTGCTCCCTGGCAGGCAGCCCCAGCCCCTCAGCAGCCTTCATCCCCTGGGAACCTGCTGCCAGGGTCCCCAGGCAGCAGCAACTTCATCCCTCAAGCCACGACACGTGCAGGGCAGAGACCAGGCTTGTACCAGCCCCTCCTAGGATGCCCTTTGCTCCAGAGGCTGTTTCCACAGTAACACAGAGGAGTTAAGCACATTTTCACAACTGTTATTAACATTATGGACCTTTACAGCAGG